GTAGCAGTAGTAGAAGTAGCAGTAGTAGTCGAAGGAGGAGGAGAAGGAGGAGGAGGAGGAGGAGCAGTAGGCGAGGAGGCGGAGGAGGAGTAGTCGCCACAATCATAATCAGGAGCACGAGCAGGAGCAGGGACCAGCAGCGGGAGGAGGAAGACTGTGGTTGTGGCGGCGGGGGCAGGTGCTGGTGGCAGTGGCAGCGGCCCCGCCACACCTCAGAATTCCCTGCCACACCCACCCCCCTAAAGCCCATAGGCACCTCAACAACCCTCGACCCTGGGCACGAAACCCTAAACCCTCAAAGCCTAAACCCTCAAACCCTAAACCCTCAAACCCTGAAGCCCTACAACCCTAAATTAGCCCTCAGGGTGTCGCGCAAATAACCGTAAAACCCTCAAACCCCTGAAGCCCCTAAAACCCTGAAAACCCTCGAACCCTGAAGCCTGAAGCCCCTAAACCCTACCCTACACTTCCCTGGCCCCTAACCCTAAACGCTAAACCCTAAACCCCAAACCCCTGTCGGCTCGGGCGCCGGCTTGGGTGGCCGGAGGTCTGCAGCTCCAGCCGCCTGGCTCTTCGTCGTCTTTCTTGGGAGCAGCGAATATGGGGGCGCTAGCAAAAAGAATAGGGGTTTTGGGGGTCTATTTTACTATAATAATAACAATAATAGTAACAATAATAGTAACAATAGTAATAAGGAACCCCCCGAAAATTCTAGTTATTAAGGCCCCTGTATTGAACTCGGACTTAGTGTCTATTTCGGGAATAGAAATATAAAGAAGTGAAAGAAAAAACGAATGTATGAGTCTTTGTAAATACAGATGTGTGAGTACACATAGATGTATATGTATGTATGTATGTATGTATGTATGTATGTATGTATGTATGTATGTATGTATGTATGTATGTGTGTGTGCATGTGTGCATGTGTGTGTGTGTGTGTGTGTGCGTGTGTGCTTTTAATTGGTTGAAGCTTTCTATAAATATGTATGGGGTTCTACGTTGAGGAAGTCTAAGCTTGTTTAAGGTCCGGGGCTCAGAGAATCCGGATTAGAAGTTCTGGGCTTTGGGAAGATCCTGTCTCGGGAGTTCTGGGGTTTAGGGTTTAGGGTTTAGGGGTTTAGGGGTTTAGGGCTTAGGGTTTAGGGTCTAGGGTGTCGGGTTTAGGGGTTTAGGGTTTAGGCTTTGATACTTCAACGCATGCTGAGATCTGGTCACTGTTGGGAACCGATCGCTTCCTTAAGACTTCAGGGACCCTGAACCCTAAACCCTAAACCCCCAAACCCTAAACCCTAAACCCTCAAACCCTAAACCCCTAAACCCTAAACCCTAAACCCTAAACCCTCAAACCCTAAACTCCTGAACCCTAAACCCTAAACCC